ATAAAACACTTGACGATAATGAAATAATTATATAAAAATATATAAAAAATCATTGAAACAAACAAAGCCAGACTAGATCAGACACAGAGACACAGACGAACGGAATGAATCAAACTCTCGGAAGAAGTTGACGAGGATGACGGGGCGGGGTGGGTGGGGGTGGATGAAGGGAGAGAGGAAAAAAAAGAGAATAAAAATCTAGAAACGTGCTAGACAAGGACGAAATACCGAACAAAAAGTCACTTAAATGACTCACACACGCGCGAACATTAATTTAAAAATATAACTATATCTTTTTTTCTTGAGGATAAAACCATAAAAATGGAGGAGAACAAAAAATGAAAAGTTAGCGAAGAAGTTAACAGAATTTATTTGATTGTCCTTTCAATTTTTGGCTCACGAATGAATTACACGTTCGGGTTTGATTCATGCATATATATATATATGTATTTAAAGCAGTAATGTGTGTGTATGTGAAAATGAGAAAGAGAGAGATAGATAGATAGATAGATAAATGAATGTTAAAGAGAGTTTGATTCATTTCGTGCCATTTTCGGGCATGCATGCGTGTTCAAACTAATATACACACATATACACACATATATATTCATAAATAAATTTTATTTTAGGTTTAGAGAAAAAGAGAAAGATGAAGACCTTCGGATTAGATTTGTTTTTAATTTTATTCTTCTGTTTTTCGATTTCATTAACAATTTGTTTCACTAATATGATTTTAGGATATTATCGTTGATATACAATTTGTCAATTAAATGTTTTTGTTGCGTTTTTTCTTTGTTGGTTTTTTTCTTTGATATTTTTTATAAACGATATTAGAAAAATCCGTGGTTATTCTGGAAGGTTAAATTCGTCATTGAAAAGTTTGCTCTCTAACTTGCTAAAACCTAAACTCGCTATACTTACTTGCTTGCTTGCTACGCTATCTTGTTCCGTGCCAAGGATTCATGCATAGATATATGTGTCTGTTTGGTCTATCTACAATGTGTGTGTGCGTGTGTGTGAACACACATATTCCATCCATCATTGGACACATTTTATATTTTATATTCTATATGTATGTATTTGTTAATAATTATTGACAATTCTAATTAAACGAAACGAGTGCCACAAAAAAATTGTTTTAACTAAACAAAATAATTAATAATATTAATAATCATAAAAATAATATTTTATTAAGTATTTATATAAAAAAATTCGATAACTCTTTTTCTAAAAAAAAAAAAAAAACACAACCCTTTTTAACCCTTTTTTCTTCTAATATGTACGATAAAGAACAAATACAAAAACAAAAATGAAATACTGCAAATG